CAGGTAAGGCGCACCGGACTTCTCCACCTCCCCCCAAAAGCCACGTCCTCCCCCGAGCCCCCAAAGCCATCCTCCCAAAATAACCTATAAAAGCAAATACCATTCCCTCCTTGCCCTAAGTTATTCCAATAAATCCATTCCCCCGCCTCCCATGCTAGCTGTTCTTGTCCCCCGCGCTGCCAGGCTGCCTATTTTTAAGTATAACGTGGTACCTCCGAATCAGCTTGCGGGCGGTGTGATTGCAGCGAGGGTCTGAGCGCTGGCAGCTCTGGGAGGGTAACCCTGCCGCCTCTGCCCGTGCTTTGTGCCCAGCTTGTGTTTCTACGTGTGCCTTTCGGGGTTTGGCGACGGGAGCTGCGGGGTGAACCCCCTTGCCCCCCGACATCTCGGCATGGCAGGGCTGGGGGGCCAGCAAGCGGCCGCTGTGGCATGTGGGATGGCGTGCTGTCAAGGAGACCTGATTTCTTTAGACATGTGGGCATATCTGGTAGGTGGAACGCATTTTTATTGTATTTCTTCCAGCATGGTGAGGAACTAGTAAGGAGCCTGCACTGTTGCTAATTTGCTGCATTCAATTGACGATAGTAACTACCTTTCCTATAGGTGCTTGTTCAGATACCGTAGTTGAGACCATAGGCATGGCTATGTAATAACCAGACTTTGGAAACCTATGTTTGGAAATGCTTTTAGCTTGCACTAAGTGAAGCAAGGCAGCATTCCTAGAGAAATAAACACATAAGCACATGCAACTGTCTGTTGGATCAGAAACCGTATTTTTCAAGTGCTATGCAAACCTAAAGTGTTGTAGTGTGAAACAATTGTTTAACGTGAGGGGGAAAGTTCCTTAAACTGCGTAGTCACCTCCTCGCTTCATCCAGCTGCAGCAGTATCTTTGTTGTCAAAATATTCCTTCCCCTTCTTTGCACTGATGTACGAGATAACAACAGTATTCAGCAATCTCTGTACAGCAGAGGACAGCCACTGCACTGGATGTGTCCCCAGCTGCCACCTTTCCTCCTTGACAGAAGGTTTCCAAAAAGGTATGAGTGGGGAGGGAGAGACAGAAGCCTCAAGGCTGGCTCTGTGTGTGGTAAGTTCTCTTGCCCAAAGAAGAGAATGGGTGTTCTCAGCTGGGCAGTTCCCAGGGGGACAATAGGTGACCCTGGAAGTATCCCCTACCCTGGCTGGCAAGGAGGGGGACAGAGCTGGGCTAAAACGACGTGGGGGCAGCAAGAGAGTCAGATTCAGCTCCAGGGGTTACTTTGTGGCACTGCTGATGGAGCTACAGACAGCAGTTCTCTGACTCATGGGAGAAGATGCAGGCCATAGTCCTGCCCACCGCCTATTTGGGTTTGAAGTGGACAATGTGAACCTAAGGAATGATTTAATCACGGTGATGCATGAAAGTAACTGAAAGCGGATTTACTGCTCTAATCTTTTCGTGGTGCTTAATTTAATTTTCATGTGCTTTATTGCAACACTGATTCATCAGGTGAGTGGGAGGGAGGCTTGTGCAGTACAGGTGGTTCAGTTTCTATTGCTGAATTAGATATTTCTCAAGGTGCTTTCTTGGCTACAGCAGGATTAAAATGGCTCTGTGTCTGATACAGTGCTGTGGTTTGGAATCCAGGATATCTCCAGGGAAAGACCATTCCTATAATCTGTAATGTGCAGTGTTTGAAATCAGTGTGCCATGCTCAGAGTAAAACGGAGACTCGACTAATTCTTATTATGTTCATAGATCATAAAAATTTCAGTTAAGCTCATCTGAATTGGGTTAGACTCACTTCATGTCCAAGGGAGCTGTTATCTGCTGGAGGCAATTGTGAGATTTTCGGCATTGCCAGTGCTGAAAGTCTTTTAGTGGATCTGAGGCTCTTTCTGGATCTGGGGCTGAAGAGGTAAAAATGAAACTGCCCTGAAGTGTGTCAGCAGGGCCTTGCTGCTTCTGAGCTGCAGAGCACAGACCTCCCTCCGCAGCTGTACAGATTTGTGCTATTTGATCTCCTGTTTTATTTGGGGGAAAAGCTACATTTGGTGTTTTTTCTCTTG